TGTCCGAGTCGGCCCGACCATCCAGGCCTCTGGATTTTGCCGTCTTTCAGGCTGAGGCGACACTGTAGGAGCTTGTCTGGCCTTTAAAGCTCCCCGTTCCATGGGATCCACCATTCTGCCGCCTTCCTTCGCCGTTTGCCATGCCGAGCAACTAGCTTGTCCGGCCTGTTGTTCTTCCTTCGCCACCTTCCAGGCCGAGTCGACCACACACCCAAAAGCCCACCTTCAAAGCTCTTCCAACAGCCGCAGTTTGCAAGCTTGCCCCCAAGTTTGCAGGTCAGGTTAGGTCAACCAGTAACCCGCGCTGGTAAGGTCCAGGTTGGATTTTCTAAGTCATTTTCAAAAATGGTGGTCAATCCGTTTAGACCCGCATCAATCCGGGTTTGACCCAAACCTAACCCGCGAACCCGTTTTGACACCCCTAACTTTAACATCGTCCCACTCCAAGATTTCAATGGCTCCGCCATAAGCCTCAATCACCACTAGAGATGGAATTCTCTACTTTGCAGTACTTGCTACCATAGGACCTGCTTATGTGGTCAGCATTGAAGGATTAGTGTCAAAATCTCAATCATCCCTTAGCATTTGATCCCACGATCAGGATGAGAATCCATGGGAGGCTCACTTGGATCACGCCAATATCCTTCTATATTTGGGTAACTGAATTAGGAAGGATTATATTTAGGCAATTATATATCAATTAGAAGTTATTTATTTATTTATTAAGACATCTTGTATAAATCTATAAATAGGGATAATTTGTATAATAAGTAGAAGGTATTTTTACCCTTCTCAAATTCTATGAATTCTAACATGGTATCAGAGACACGATTTGTTGCCAATTCTTTGTAAAAGGAAGCCGGCCTTCATTGCCGCTCCTATTGCCGGATCGAAGAAGAAAATAGGTCTGTCTTCATTTGCTGCTGAAGAACGTTCCTTTCAGTTCCTCGTGTGTACGAAAAAGCAAGAGGCAAAGAAAGGACTTTTGTCCGACGCCACCAGACGCGAGAAGATTCGCGGAAGAAGCCGAGCGACAGAGCCAGGAACAGAGGAAGAAAAGAAGGAGAAGAGGAGAGGCGGAGCCTTGCCGACGCTACCAACCAGAAACGCCGGACGGGACAAGCGACTCGATCGGAACTTCAGAACTATCATCCACGAAGGAGACGAAGGAGCAGAAGTGTCGTACCCATTCGGAACCGTCCGTGCGGAAGACGAAGCCGATCGGAAGCCTGATCTGATCGCCGAACACCTGCGACTCGCTGGACGAAGCCACCTATCCGACTCGCGGGAGGAAGCCTTTGCGACTCACGAGACCAAGCTCGTGATCGGCACGCCTGCGTGTGACTTGGGAGACAGACACCGCCTTCTGCCATTCAGAAGGCTCGCACGCAAGATTCGCACATCTGAAAACCTCGTCTGGAGGAATCAATCGAAATCGGAATCTTCGTCTGGAGGCTCGCTCACATGGACCTGATCTTGCGACTAAAGGGACGGAACCTTGCCCGTGCCTAGCTTGCCCCGATCCGAGCCTTAAAATCAAGGCTGGGCCGGTTCGGTTTAATAAACCGAGAAAGCCTTAATAAGTGAAAACAAAAACCAGACTTCATTACTGATATAAAATCGGCCTTTATTGTCATAACTTAAGATCAAAGGGATCTTATTTTGGAAGCCTTCATTAATGTCCAAAATCCAATAGATAGTCTTCATTACTATCAAAAATTATCGAACCTTTGAAGAATATTGATTCTTTTACCGGACTTCATTGTCGGAATCACCTGGGATATACGAATCAAAGAAAGCAGAAAGGAGAAAGCGGCCTTCATTGTCGTTGGAGTCGTGCGGTCCAAACAGCTCGTGCCCTCTATTTTGTGCAAGCGGCCTTCATTGCCGTAGGACATCGAA